GGTGCCTGTGCAGAATGAAATGACTTATGGTATGATAGAATCACTAATGTTGAGCTTTGGGAGAGAACTAAACAAGTCACAGTCGACCAAGAGGTGAAGAAAAGACACTGGTGTTGGACAGGTCGCACACTGAGAAAACCTGAGAACAATATAAGCAGAATTTCTTTGCAAGGAACCCAAAGGGACATAAAAAAAAAAGGCAGACCCCACCCCCAAAAAGGCAGAAGAAGAATGGTATAGTCTACTTATAGATTGGCTTCTGAAGTGTCTAAAGTTTAAAACTAAGGGAAATGTAATAACTAGTTTGTATAAACTGGCCATCTGATTCTTTTAATATTATCATTATTTCTTATATTTATTAGATATATCTGATATTTTGTATATTTATTAGATATGTCTGATATTTCTTATATTTATTAGATATATCTGACATTTCTTATATTTATTAAATATTTCTTATATTTGTTAGATGTATCTGATATTTTCCCTCTGCAGCATTTGCCCTACAAAAGATGGTCTGTCCGTATTGTGATTTAAGGCTAGACTGCAAAATCTGTGCTTTTAGCTCAACACACAACATATTTGATTTCAGCAACCTTAATTGGTTACCTTTTACCTCCTCCCCCTCCCCCCAATCAACGGGGTCCCAGAAACCCACACAGGAATTATTCTGGTATTTGAAATCAGACATTTCGTACAGGCGTCCATACTATGAATCAAAAAATTTTTTTTTTTAAAAAAACCAAAACCTACAAGAAAAAAAACTGGCAAAATTCAACCTGCTTATTGAAACACATAAACATATACATAAACTGAACAGATAATATAACTTTATAAACAGATAGGCAACAAATATTGTAGACCAAAGCGCTGGTATCACACAGTGAAGAACATACTAGACAATCACAATGTCACTTATATGGCTGTAATACATATGCATATGAAAGAAACCATCATTTTCAACAATGCTGAATAACATGAGAGGCCCCTATGATAACTTATTGTTACTTGAACAAAAGGGGGGTGGGAGGAAATGAAGACATTAATTAATTAGTTGACAAATTAATCCTCATTGCACATCGAACCATTCAGTCCAAATGTGCTTGGGTCCCCTCCTTAGTAAATCCCGCAGTGTAGCAGCTCACGGCACCAGTTTTTATTCTTCTTTGGTTTCGTGCAGTGCTCCTGTCTGGTCACACCCTTTTTAGCTTACTGTTCTTGCAGTCTGGTCATGGTAGCAAATTCAGTCAGCTAGCTCCCACAAAATACTTCCTCTCATCTGCCTTACCTGCAAGGCCATCAGCTTCATCATATCCTTGTACTGCTGCATGCCCTGACACAAAAAATGAAACTGATCTTTGCCGGCCCTGACCGTTCAGAGACACCAACCACTGTCTTTGGACCCAGCCAGTCTCTTTCTTCCTCAGCATACTCACTGAGTCACTGAGAAAGCACTGCCATGACCTCAAGTCAGATCATTTGCCACGGTGTGGATGACAATAGCACCAGAAACTTGATTCACAACTTTCCCTCCTGTCGGAGTCATGGGAAAAAAATGAGCTTCTAACATGGTAACAGAACTGTCCATGTAAATGACAGTATCCCCCTATGAAGAATTCTAACAAAATTGAAAAATAAACAGCAATACTTAGACTAATGTACTCTATATTAGTCACTATCCTCCTGTTGGGCCGTTTTATATTACACTGGGTTCGCAGTCTATTCCTCCATTACGTTCTATTCTCTGCAGTCATTTTGATATGATGAGTGGAATCCAGTCCAGCCCTTTTAGCTTCTACATCAAATGCTGCTGACAGTTTGTTTATTCTTCCATTTTATCATATTCTCTGCAACTGACTCAATATCAGGATGAAATCCAGCCCAGTATCTTTGGCATCTCTCTATGTCAGTCACTGAAAACATCATTGTCTGACAAGTAGATATTAGTAGTTACTCTGAGAGGTGCTTCTACAGACACTCGCATGTACTGTATACATGTTCATAAACAGCTAGGGGTAATGTGAATTAATTGAGTAAACAATGACTAGGAAGCTAAAAGAAGGGGAAAGGGGGCACAAGCAAAAAAACCACCATCTTAAAATGAGCTTTTATCAATGAATGCCACCATCGAGGTCAAGACAGGAGACCTTATAACCAACTTCTCACTGGAACAATTAGCAGAGGTACTCTTGAGTTGCTGCTGCATCAGAGGACTGAGCACACATGGGAATGCCCAATGGGCAGTGATTTTGATAACATGCCATAACAAGTAATGTAATCCTGGACAGCAGTCCACACACAGAGAAGTTTTTGGTTGTTTGTGAATGCTTTTCCCTTCCCACTTTGAGCTTCCTAACCACTGTTCAATGAATATTTTCTTCATACCAGCCTGACTGCAGTCACCCCTGTTTTTTTATCAATTGTGGGGTAATGAGTTAGTTAGAGCTATGGCAGTAATTACAAGTAGCTTGAGCACATCCGATTTGACCCACAGTGTGGATGTTATGGATTCTTACAACATAAAAATAGTATACTCCTCCGTTCCTGGGAGCCATTGTGGTGTATCTGCTAGATGTTTGCCTGCAGATCCAAAGGTTTGGTTTAAAATCCTGACCAGCCAGACTTTTTGTTTCAAAAATTATCATTGGTCTCAGGTCAACCCAGCCTTAAATGGGTATTAGGTGAAGTCCTGAGAAGTAAAAGCGGCGGGCGTGATACTGACCACATCAGCCATACAGTGCAGAGTGGTCTATAAAATATAGGTCTAGTCTTATATGCCAAATTGCCTGACGGCAGGGAAAAGTGTCCTTTTACTCCCTTGTTCCTGGGCTGAAGACAGCAGGTGGAACAGTTTGCAGCTGACACATCATCCATGCAGTGCTGATAAGATTTAGAGTAATCACCACATGCTAAATGTATAAGCAGGAAAAGATTCTTTACACCTATTAGAGCAGCATGTTGCAGTATGGCTAGGAAACAAGGCTCCCACACCATAAAAAGTGAATGCTTAACGTCTAGGACAAAATTTATTATCTACTGAAAGTAACTTTAAAATATTGCTACAACTCACGAAAGTCACCCCATCTCGTCGGCCATGTGATTTTGTAGGGAATTTCCTGGGACAGTCCTTTAGTCTAGGGGTCTCATGTGTTTCCTGTTTTAACCGTTTTAAGCACATCCACCACCGACTACAGCCACCACCAACAGGGTCTGAGACCTAATCACCACATTACAGAAAGAACAGTAATTCACAGAAAAGAGAGTTGCGAAAAGAAAGCTGCAGTTCTATCTGGGAGACAGTGTGTCAACCTCCTCAATTGAACCCGAGCCACTTTTCGGCACACTTTGTATAGATGGCGAAGGAAGACATAACACCCCTATAACAGGATAAGACGTGGAAACCACTAGGAAATCCAGCCGCCGAAGAGAAGGATGACTTTCATGAGTAGTACCAAAACAGTTCATCTATGTTGCACACCACGTAACCATAATCCAGCAATCAGCCTGCATTTCTAGTCAAGCGATCTGAAAGATGGCTATCAATAATGGTAATCAAACACTGTGCCCAATGATAGCTAATACCCAAGGATGTCCAACTGGCATTAAATATGTTTTCTATGATTGGTAAAGATTACCAGCATTCACACAAGATGTTGCAGTATTATTAATGCTAAATAATAATTTTAAAAAAATTATATAAAAAAAAAAAAAAATGAGTGTGTTTGTCTATCACTGAAAATGATATAAAAAAAAAACACCAGGTAAGTTTTTTGAATGTTTAATTTATATAAAAGTAAATTCAGCAATTACTGTTATTAATTCCCAGTGTGAGTTCCAGGGCTCCATTGCAGGGAAAACAAGAACAGACCCACTGCTTTCCCAAAAGCATGTCGTAGGAGTCGACTAACTGGAAGCTTTCTTCGAAGTGCAGCTGCCTGAGAGGCAGGTAACCAGCAGTCTGATTACAAATAATCCAGATCCGTTGAACGGATGTACACGCAACATTCAGGTTCTGGAATAAGACTAAAGTCCTGAGGAGAAATTTCCTCTGGAGTTTACAGCCGGTGAGCATAAAAAAGAAGAAGAAGACTGTCAGATTTCAAAATTTTATTATGAATGAGAATCCCCTCATAATATGTGAATGTCATTAAATTAGGTTTTGTCTATTAGATGCAATGCACCATTCCCATCTGTCACCATATCTCTCAGTCAAACTGGCAGAAAAATCTAATTTTTAACATTTTAATATCCATATTTATTAAATGCGTGTCCCTTACAGGATGTCATATAGCCAACCCTAGCATATTTTTTTTTGCTGTTTGTGATTTTTCCTAAGCAATTTTCGCTCAGTAGATGGAATTGCTGTCTGGGCGGTTGGCTCTTGATACCACTATTAAATCCAACGTAAGATGGTCTGTTGAGACTAAACCTGGCCCCATGGAATTACAAATCACAGTAAAACCCTAATTTAGTTCACCTCTTACGACATGCTTATTAAGGGAAAGCAGATCTTTTCCATCTCCCCCTAAAATGGGGCTCTAAAATCTACACAGGGAATTGAAAAAGTTACCTTTTATTTTTTCTTCTTCATTACAAAACAATCATGTAAGTTTCTAGCATGGCTCAACCAACCCACACTTAATTATTTTGTTGAATTCTTTTATTCTAACCTGATCAGATGTAGTAATAGAGTTTCAAAAATAAACAAAATAATGCATTTTTAGATTAGAAAACAAAGTTATGTTTCAAATATAACTTATATATTAGTACAGAAGGCTGTTGTTATACTATTCTATCCTATCCTGAATTTAGTACACACAAAAAAATTAAACTAACAAGTCTTATAAATTACATATCCACATTATGCCAAAGAACTAAATTATATTAAGCTTAGTGTACAGGTACAGCATTGTTCGTTATAAAATCCACATACCTTTCCTCTGCTCTATCATTAACACTAGTCACTCACAGAGACAACTATACAGTATTGGTAATTGTTATTATAATTCTGTTGAACTTTTTGGTCTAACTTTCCCACGTCGCTGGGCCAGCCTGGAAGCACCTACAGGTTCTAATGTGGCTTGTTTAAGATTCTGGGCATTCAAAGCCTTAAAAGTAGCAGCAACGGAGTCCTAGGAATGCAAAGTAATGAAGTTATTAAATGATGAATGTTTTTATGTCACAGATTCAATACAACATACAATCTAATAAAGAAATGTGTAGTATAATAAACAGCTAAAAACCAATAACACAGCATTTTGGCATTCCCATAAATGCTTCGTCCTCATCTTCAGCAGCCAGAGCATTTTACCAATATGTATTCTTCTGTGTTTGCCATGAAAGGTTCAACTGTACTGTGGTGTACAGCTAGGCTGCAATGTTTGTGCCTTTTGGACCAAAATATATAATTTCCGAAAGAGCTTAATTAATCTACATGTTTGTTAGTGGAAGTCAGGTGTGGCGACTGTGGGTCTATCCCTGCCCCAGGGCCACAGAATCCACATAGGGAGTTTCAATACCAATCAAACCAGTTTAAATCTGATTATATCTTCATCTTTACTTTCTGAGAGCTTCGGTGTCCTTTTTACAACAAAGGAAACTCTGAAGTTATAGAAGGGTAATCAACAGAAGACAAAATCAGTCAGAAGCCTTAAATGTGGCAACAACGGAGCCTTATGAATGGAAAAGAAATAAAGTATTAACTCTTCTGCTCTGAAAAGCAGCAAAACCGACATTTCCGATTCAAGCCAATTCCCCGCAAAATGTCACTTTAAAGACTTTTCTATAGGGATCTGTTTATGAGACATACAGGTAATGCTACTGGCCATGTTTATTCCTGTGCAAACTTTTATGAGGCCAGGACAAGAATCTATGAATTTAAAAAAAAAAACATTTAGGTTTTTTCTTTTCTTCAAACCAAATATTTGTTTAAAGTCAAGTTGACATCAAATTTTCACGCAAGCCTCAGTGTTAGAGGTAACTGGACCATGCTGTGAGTCATTTGATACTTATATTTTTTAAGGCCCCGGAGAATGTATTCCATTTAATGCTTCACTCTTTTCATGTTTACTAATTATTACCTTTATATATTTAAAACAAATGTACATAAATAAATCAAAAACCAATTATTAGCAACCTGTGTAAAACTTGTTGTCAAAAGACTTTTTGAAGACACTCCACAGTGAGTTAACTCTTTGAGGCTTAAACAACGGTGTGAACGTTGTTTGAGAGGGTTCCGTTTTGCCCAAACAACGGTGTCATCGTCAATCGTGTGTCCCTTACATTTTGCTTCGTACGCGACTTCGTACTAGTTTCTAATGTTTGGAGGTACGATTAAACTATTCAGGGAAAGTCACTCTGCCGAAATCCTTTTAGTTTCATTTCCTGGACTAAACCACACGTGCATAATTTGAAAGAAAACACAGCGAAATTTTTTTAGCAGTTCATTTTATAAGTTCGTTTTTGAGTGCCATGAATACCAATGTTCCAACCACAAATACAGGTCGCAGAATGCGTCTTTCTGCGGCCGAAGCTCTGAAATTGTTTCAGTCAGATGTTCTTAATTGTGATAATGATAATAAAAATTTAGATTTTTCGAGGAGTGATTCGAACGTTGAATTTTCACCAGTGAAGCTGAGCGATCAGCTGTTTGGAATCTAGCGATTCTGATGAGTTTATTACACAAACAATGTCCCATACTAACGTATTTATGGTGTTAGAGAAGGAAAGTGCTCTAAACAAAGAGACAGTACTATACTATGGCTAAGCTACACTAAAATCATCGCAGCTACAGTCTGTAAATAACACTACAAAGTAAATAGTGTGCGTGTAATGGCTTATTTTTCTGCCATTTTTTCTCTGAAATTTTGCTCAGCACTCTGTGAGAACTGAGAGCCACTGAGTGCTAAACTTACCCAAAAAGTTATTATAACTTTGGATTGGAATATGTTAGGAAATTAAACAAACTTTGAAGTTTTGTTCTCAAATTTCCTCCGAAGTCAGAGTACATCTGCCGGAGAGGCGGGGAACGAGAACTGCGAACAAATAAGCCAGTAAAACGGATGTACACGCAAAACTCAGGTCAAGGTAAAAGCCAAAAGTCCATTTTGGACGAACAACCGCGACTTACCGCCGGAATTCACAGCCGGTGAACAAGAAGAAGAAGAAAGAAGTTCTCAAATTTTGATATTTACTACTCTTGTGGCTGCAAAACCATGGTAAGTGAAGAATTTTTTTGTTAAATGTCATCCTTGTGAAATTAACCCCCCTCTGAATTCTTCTTTCTCACTAACTATAACAAAATTAAACAAACACTTATCATCAGATTCAAAATGTACATTCATTTCTTTTTTTTTAAATATATACTTTTTATAGGGATTAGAAGTATATTACAATCTCTATAGCCTTTCTTGTGCACCCACCCCTCTGCCATTTTTGTAAAGGGAAATTAATTTGGGCCAAGCCTGTCAAAATTCATGGGCCTGAAAGAGTTAAAGCCCTTTTCACGCCACTGATGCACAGGCATATGGTCTAGCCCAATGTTTTTTTAAAGACAAATCAGCACTTGAAGGCTGATGTAGCCAACATCACACAAGCCACCATTGCTTGCTTTCAAATGTCCCCATACCCATTTAAGCTGGGTTGACTTCTGAGTCGCTATGGTATTCAACCCCTCATTTTTATTAGTGGAGAAGCAAAATTTCACTGCTGCAGCAACAGCTAGATGTATGTTTTTATAGATCAATTGGTACCTGATGAGTGAAGAAATAAGAAAATGTCTGGGCAACCTCTAGTATCAACAGTGACAGAGAAGATGGCGCTATATTGGACACATTCTGAGCGGAGAAGATCAGACAATCAGGCAATGAAATAAGAAATAAATGGACTGTAGGAGTAAACATTAAGGCAAACATTAATGACAGAAACCAAAGGGGCAGGACTGGATTCCATCCATGGTATCGAAGTGATTGCACAGGGTAGAATGGAATGGAGGAATAGATTGTGAGCCCTTAATGGCACAAAAGGGCAATGAATGAATCAATCTGTACATGATGAGTGATCCACTTTCCTTATTCTCATTACCTGACCACCCATTAACTGACTATTACGCCCTTAAGTGAATTTGTGATATCTTCTACAGCACTTGATCACTGGAATTTTAGCTGAGTGGCCACACTGAGATGGATTTTTATTTTCAGCACTGACCATGGTACCCAGCTGAAAATGGTCAAGTGTGAAGTCCTAGGGATTAAAGGCAACTGGCGTGATGCTGACCACATTACTTATTAAGTGCCGTTTAGTCTATAAAATATTTGTCTAGCACTATAAAATACACCTAAGTGCGAGGAAAAAGGTCCTTTAAAGTAGATAAGATAGGTCTAAATGTAGCCCAACTCTCACTGTTAAAGCCTGCAACAAAATGGATCAAAAAGTTGACCAGAAGTTACCTTAACCAGCTGTGCATCTTGCAATGTAAGTCTGAACTGTGGCAACGAGTCTCTTTGTGAGACCCAATGATGGTTAAGTACTTGAGTAGCTGTTAGCCTGTTCTGTGGGTCGATATGCAGCATTCGTTTGACAAGGTCCTGAAGACACACACAAAACCACACACATAATCAGAATATTTTTTATGCTGGGTTATTCAGTCGAGGTAAGGAAAGTGTTTTGCTTCAACATCTACTTGATCCCAGAAAGCCGTCAAGCCCTTAACTAACATCTTTGCTGGCTGTTGAGGATGAGGCACTTATGAAAAAGTCTAGAACGCTGTGATGTCAGTTCTTAGCTCAATACTAAACACATACTACTAAACACATTATCAATGTTATTAAACACATTATCAACACATTTTCTATACTATCAAATGCATTATCTATACTATTAAATGCATTATCTATACTATTAAACACATTATCTATACTATTAAACACATTATCTATACTATTAAACACATTATCTATACTATTAAACACATTATCTATACTATTAAATGCATTATCTATACTATTAAACACATTATCATACTATTAAACACATTATCATACTATTAAACACATTATCTATACTATTAAACACATTATCTATACTATTAAACAGCCACTTACTTTTGCCTGTGGAGATACGGAGTCCCAGTTGCCTCCAACCAATGAAAATTTGCCCTCTCCAATTCTGGCAAGTATGTCATTTGGTGTGTCATTGGGGCCGTTTGCAAATGGTGTGTGACTGTTGACATGAAAACTATGTATATATTTACTGCAGTCAGCAAAGAGCACTTTTTAATAGACAGTGAAGTCAATACATTAAATTAGTCTAAAGCTTTTCCAGCAGTGACCACTAAAATATTTAAAAACAAGTAGCGGGGGAGGGGGTGGGAGATGAGACAGAAAATTTAAAAAAATAATTGGTTCTTTATTAATATCCTACCCCTGCTGACATCACAGGACAGTCTAACATTTTAGAGGGTGGCAAGACTGGGTTTCCCCGCTTTCAGATGCTTTTAACTACCCCAAAGCATCTAGAACTGGCCCTTACCCCAACCCACCTATGTCCCACGATTGAGTGCAGCCTATGCCCCATGAATACACTCAGCATAGGTCCCATGACTGCATACAGCTTATCTACCACCCCCTGAAATATTAGACTGTCCCGTGACCTGTGGATTTCCCCTGTTTAAGGTAGGATATTATAAAAGCACTAAATAATTAATAGAAAACATAAAGGAGACGACAGAAGTCTCAGTCAACAGTATAAAAGAGGTAAATATGTAATTATTTCAAGGAAAAAAGAAAAAGTAAATCTTTCTTCATTAACCAGTAAGAAAGAAAAATGTATTCTAAATATTTATTCTATATTATATATATATATATATCCTCTTCATGTGGCTGTTGACACATTAGGCATTCACAAGTGATCTCCATTGCTGTCTGTCTGCTGCTTTTCTGCTCATGGTATCCCGTGTCAGTTTACATTCCTTCATTTCCAGTTCTATTGTCCTTCTCCAGGTTTCCTTAGGTCGTCCACATCTCCTTTTCCCATCTGCTGTCCACCGGAGAGCTGTTTTTGCCAGAATGCCTTCTTACTTTGATAACATTTGCCAGTGATGCACATTCTGTTTTCCTCCTCAGTTCTTCATTTGTGATCTTGTTTGACCAAAATATTCATAGAATTCTCCTTAAACATTAATTTTGAAAAGTCTCAATTTTATTCTAAATATGATAGATATTTATGTACATTCTTTAAGAATTCAATATCATCCTCTTATGCTCACTGGCTGTAAACTCAAGCAGAAAGTTCTGGTTGCTCCTTTACTTCTGAAATTTTGTCTTGTTTCAGGACTTGAGTTTTGCGTGCAAATCCCTTTGACAGATCTGGCTTATTGGTACGCAGACTGCTGGTTTGTTACCTTTCAGGCAGATGTACTTTGACTTCAAAGGAAACATCTCGAATCAGCGCCTTTTATGTCATGCTGGGGGCAGCAGATCACCCTCCCTCCCAAAAACAAAAAAGGGCTTCCAAAAACTATGGGGGGAAATGTCATAAATTTATTGGCTTCTATAAGCACAAATAAAGAACAAAATTTTAATTCACTGTAACAGAAAATTATTGGAAAAATTTAATGTGCGTTCTAGGGCTCAATTTTAGGAAAAAGAAAAAATATCCACTCACCCTTAAATTGTTTGCAAAAGCTGACTTAATTAAAGACTCCTTTTAAAGGGTAAATGCAGGAAAAAAAAGTAAAATTGCGAGATAATTTAAGCGAAAGACATTATTATAGTGTATCTCAAATTTACATAAAATGTGAAGATAAAAGTTAACATACCCTGCCAGCATTGTGTACAGCAAAACACCAAGACTCCATACATCACATGATGCATCATAGCCTTGTCGCTTCAATACCTACAGAACAAAACTAAATTAATACAGTAAGTGTGCACTACTAAACATTCTTCAGGAAATATACACATTCTCAAGATTCTTAGGCTGGGTTGGTTACAGATGTACCACACTGGTATGCTGTTTAACCTACGTATTGATAGTGTCCTAATAAAATAAGCACATAAAGAGTGCATGAGCATTTACCGCTCGCTTTTCAGGCAGAACAGCTCAAGAAGCCAGCAGTGCCTTCTCTATGATGATGGAGGTGATGGCGGTGACACAAGCTTTCATGTGGCTAGAGTCACAGGACTATTCCCAAGGTGTGTGTGGTGAGTGATTCTTTGAGCATGATCCAACGGGTTGAGGCAGGCTGGTTACACAGACAGTGGTCTGAGTCATTGCAAAACTCTCCTGTGTGTGCAGTTATCTTCATATTAGTCCCAGGTCTTACAGGCGTTGTTGGTAATGAAAGAGCTGAGAGACTGGCAGGTGCCGGATTAAGTGAAGATGGCATGCCCATGGATCATGCAGACATTGTCTTTACCCTTAGAGAGATGGGACATTCTAAGGATTTCGGAAGCAACATGTCCACATCACTACTAAGAGAACTGGGAGTCAAGATCGGCACAGCCAAGAATGAAAAGCACACCGGACGCACACAAAGTCTTGTTAACCAACACAGGACTGGCACTATTAACCTCGCGACGCTGATGAATATGTTGAGAGGGGAATCTGAGCACCTATGGATGTGTCCGAAGTGCTGTGAAGATAATCTAACTCAAACTCTTAACTCATAACTCAAGTGTCCTAATTTCTGTTGAACATTCTTGAATGCTGTTAAAGAGCAAGGGTACAGGACTAAAAATACATAAAAATATCTTAAATTTCCTTAAATTCAGAGTCCCTACATTTCCTTGATATTCTGTATTTCCCTTTGATCTATCAATGTGTAAATAAATCTAAGCGCATAATATTTTACTATGCATTTAGGCAGGGACACACATGTTTTTCAGTTAGAATACTGGGATCAAGATTTAATATGCTAGTGGTGATAGGATTTCCATTGCCACTACGGCTCAAAGAAGCTGCAGTCCTATAGAAATTAGACATTCGCCCGCCAGCCCTAAGGTCTTGGGATCAAATCCACACCGAGGCAGGTTTTTTCCTTCAAAACTAGCCTTGGCTCCCAGGTAGAGCCAGCCTAAAATATGTAACAGACAATGATGTCCTGGGAAGTGGGAGCAGTGACGTGATTTTGATCATGTCACTCAGTGCCAACAGATATACAAACATCAGAGTCCAGCACCATATGCCATTGCATCACTGGCGCTGGTCTCCTTGACTTTTACTTACAGTTCTAAGGAACAAAGTTTTATAAAAAGGAAATGGGCAGAATGCACCCCCCCCCCCCATGAGGCCCCAGAAACCCACAAAGGAAACAATAAAGTTTAAGCAAATCTTGCTTTTATGGATGAATACACTGTAAGACAGCTTGTCTGTCAGTGTAAACATTTGGATGCAAACACAAGAGGAAGAAGAAGCAGACTTACCTCAGGAGCAACAAAGTTTGCTGTGTAACAAGGAGTCATAAGGAGGCCATTCTCTGCCCTCAGCTGCTTGGCAAAGCCAAAATCACAGATACGAAGACTGTCTGGGGAACCACTATCATCAGCATATAAAATGTTAGAGGGTTTGAGATCTCTGTGAACAACCTGAGGAAGAGAGAACAAATAATATTAGCAGAACTTCACTTTAAATTATTTGACATAGACTCACATCACGGTGTGCACTTCTACGAAGCTCTCATTAACAGCCACTAGTAACCAACTTATTGTGCCCGACCCGACTACTTTCATTAACGACAAACTGAATTTCTGGTGGCAATTGCTGGCTTTTGCACCTCTAGCAACTTAAATACACATTTACTTTGTGTACATATTTCTCGATTGTTCCGAGACTAGTCGTTTGTTCATCAGTTTTTCAAATGCGACAGTGAGAAACATTTCATTCGATTCGCACCGGAGCAAGTATCGGGAAACCCGATGGCTGTGATGTTGATACCTCGACTAAGACTAAGTTTCACTAACAATGTATCTTCTTTTTCTCCTCAGATTTCTGAGCCCTAGAGGTTCATTGCTGTAGATATCAACCACTCCATTCATCTCCGTGAGTGGCCTTCTCTTTCCAGTTGGTGATTTCAAGGGTTTGCAAGTCTGCCTATATATTATCTCTCCAATCTTTTTGGTCCACATTTTGGTTTACTCCCATTCAACTCGACTCACAAAATACTTAAATGCATTTATTACATAAATGAAGAGACATCCTTTTTCTGCTGCAATCTTGTGCTTATAAATTTACTCTTCTTGTCCTCATAGTTGCTATAGTAACATTTTCTATCACAAGATTTTTCTACTTTAAAGTCACACATTTTGTGGGATTTAATAAAGTTATCATTAAAACAAAGTAAATTAAAAAAACAATAAACAATATTTTCTAGTGTTTAGAAGGTCCATTAGGAGCTGAGAAAAAGATGAATGTAGCATAAATGTTTCATTAGTTCCTTGGTACTGAAAGAGTAAGGCTGAAAGGCACACGTGTTTAAATTAAAAGAAAAAAAAAACAACTGATCAACTAACATGTTTTTCTTCTTTTCTTTATCGTGTTCTGTCTGTTCTGTGTTAGGTTTTGAAGAGGCGTCTGATGCAAGCCTTGGTTTGTCCTATGCACATGCTGGTATTCATGGCCCTTGATATTCATCTATCCACCGCTTGCACTGGTGACCCCTAGATCTGCTTCTGTTATAGTCATGGTGCTTCTCTGTGCTACAGTATCATCAGTAGTTCTCACACATGCCCAAACCAACACCAACTGAATACAAAAGCTGAAATCTTCCTACAACAAATGTACTTGCCCCATGTGAATGCAAATATTCCACAGTTTTGGCCACTATCTGTAGAACAGCACTGGCTTCCCGTTCAGAGAAAAACTTTTGTCGTAGTATTTTGTCTAGCAGTTCACCACCTCTCATTAGTTCTGTAACTAGGTACACTTTGTTTCCATTGTCAAAAACCTGTCAATCAAAAACTTGTCAAATGTGAAAGATTAAAAACTATTAAAATATTTGATTTCACATAAGAAAAGTCCAGAGAAGATGAGGTAGTACAAAGAATAAAAGAACTCGAGGAGGCCAGCAAGAGTAAACCAGCAGAGAGCATCATGACATCATGGAAAAGGCCTTCGACAAAGTGTGGAAAAATGGGCTGAAACAAAAGCTACTTGAAAGTGGAATATCCCATCACATGCTTGGGTGGATCGTAAAATATCTTGAAAATCGATCTGCAAGAGTCAAGATTCAGGGTTCAAGGAGCAGATCAGTCTCAATGACACATGGAGTTCCACAAGGCGGAGTTCTGTCCCCAATTCTTTTCCTAGTTTACATTAACGACATAAAATCAACCCTCTGTAATGGAGTTCAAGCCGTTATGTATGCCGATGAGCTGGCGCTACTGAGTTCAAAGGAGGACACTGAAAAAGCACAGTCAAGGCTTCAAGAATCCCTCGGAACTCTAGAGAGGTGGTCCAATAGCTGGTACATGCCTGTAAATGGGGCCAAAACCACACACACCATTTTCAGTCTCTCTACCAAACCCCAGAAAGTTTCACTTAGATATGGCAGCCAGGCACTGATACATGATGACTCACCGTCATATTTAGGAGTAACCTTTGACTCAAGACTCACATGGAGAAAACAGATAGAAAAGACACAGAGCAAGGGACTCAAGAGAACACAACTGATGAGGAAGTTAGCTGAAACAGACTGGGGGGCAAACCTCAATGTGCTTAAGAGGACCTATACAGACTATGTGAGGCCTACACTAGAATATGGAATAGCTGCTTGGGGCACAGCAGCTAAATCAAATTTTCAGAAAGTCTCAAAGATCCAAAACCATGCTCTCCGTATTATGACAGGGGCAATGCGCTCCACGCCCATATCAGATATGGAAACAATTACTGGTCTCCATAATCTGGAAGATAGGAGACACACAAAGCTCCTCACCCAGCTCTCCAAATACCACCACTTTCAAGAACAACCCATGTACAGCCGACTGCAGAAACCCCAGAAGGCTAGACTAAAGAGAACCTGTTTTATTAAGAACGCAAATGCCAAGCTCGCTGTCCTTAAACTCCCTCCCATAGTACCAAATGTTCCACTTAAACCTTACAACGACTGCCCCGCTTGGCTTAGGGATAGCCTACCAACAGTCAGAACCACTGTAACAGGGGTCTCCTCCAAATCATCAATGAGCAGCACTGATATGAAATCAACTACAGAAGGAGAGATCAATAGACTTTACCCACACCAGAGTTGGATTCGAGTGTTTACAGATGGTTCAGCCAAGAGAGCAGTAAGAGACGGAGGAGGAGGAATATACATAGAATGCCTAAATGGTTTAAAAATCAACCAGGCTGTACCAACAGGTTCATATTCCTCCAATTACAGAGCAGAGGCACTTCTAGCGGCATGTTCTTTCCTGAATGGACAACAGCACAGCAAATATAGCAGAGTCTTTCTGACTGATGCTATGTCAGTTCTACAAGCAATTGTTAACCCAAAAGACACTCTGTAGACTTGACGCAACAGCTGATTTACTTAGGCTCTTCAGTAGAACATTCTGTACTGCAGTGGATTCCAGGTCACTGTGGATTGGAAGGCAATTAAATAGCGGACAGATTGGCCAGAAGCGGCAGTGACATGGTACAACCAAATAGCGACTTAACCCACCAAGATATGAAAACACTAATACAATCTAGTATCCAAGAAAGGTGGCTGGATACCCACACCAGATTTTCTCCCTAAGACTCACTTCATCGCCTCTCTAGAGAGGGACAGTGTATTATATTCAGACTAAGGACAGGGCACAACAGATTTCGTCAACATATGTTCAAATTTTTCGGTGTAGGAAATACGGAGACGTGTCCCTGCAGCGTGGCACCTGAAAATGCTGAGCATGTGCTCCAACACTGTCAACTGTAGGCTGACAACAGAGACGCAATCTGGCCTGTTCCAACCACACTGAAGACAAAACTGTATGGTACACGAGAGGATATGGATTGCACAATAGCTTTCATAAAGGCTACCGGCCTCCTGATATAAGTTTTCTGACAGAAGGATCGAAGAAGAAGACATACATACAGGACAGCAGTGCAGCAATAGGAAGAAATTCTGTTATTAATAACACCCTCGGCCCACACTGCGCAAAGAGTTCTTATTTTATGCATAATGCATGCTAGCTTCTTATATCAATATACTTTATATGAAACCTAACATATTATCACAGTATGGCAAACACCATGTACATTTTCACATCATCCCGTATATACACATTTTCGTGCGTACCTACATGCAAACACACATGCATATAAACATTCACTCATACAAAAAATACACATATCTACTTACACTTACACACAAATTCACACACAGGACTGTGCAATGCTAAGATACAGAAAGGTGGCACTCTATCTGCAGTCTGATCTTTTGATCTGACAGCACAAAGATATCAGGGTCAGCATTTCAAAGACTTGCATCATATTGAGAAAATGTATCTCACAGGACAAACCCACACACGCACCCACACCCCCGTCCCCAGCAAACACATATACGTGCACACAAACATCTGAATATGTACATATATATAAAAATATATATTCCTCTTCAACACAATCTCTTCCTAGATATGGACACACAAAAACTGCAAAGTGACTGTGAAATAGAAACATTCAAGCAACACACTGAATATGGCACAAAGAAATATCAGAATGAAAACACACACACAAACTATACAACCCTCAAATATCAGTACACAACGCACAGTATATGACATAACAAACAGAGTATGACAAGAAGCAAAAGAAGTTGCTAATCTGTAAAAACTTACATCTCTTAGAGTGATCACATTAGGATGATGTCCAAACCGTAATAAAATCTCAACCTCTTCTGAAGGATCTCTTTTGTCTTTATCCATTATCTACAAGAGAACATGCATCTACATTTAGGCAAGACAGTGCTTTTTTTTTTTAAAGTTTCAAATACAATAAATTTTTATTTAGCATCCCGATTTGCAATTGTCGATTAATTGTTAATGTTTCTTCTGCTCCAAAGAGAAAGGAACCATAATACTTGACGAGTAAATGGTTTCAGCAGATGACAGTAAATCGGCGACCCAGATAAGGAAAAAAAACAACTTCACATGTGCGGCCTAGTGCATACAATTGGCAAGGAATTTCTAGCTCTAAGCTCTAACCGGCCACTTTAACTTAAAATTCCCAATCCTGAAAAACAAAAAGGACACACACACACACACATTTTAGACAGGTCACCAATAAATGTTTTAAATACTTATTTATGTACATCTCTCTCACTCTAACTCATTTGCTCGTACACATACTCTGTCTCTACCGATATCAGTGAGGCTTATAGGAAATTTTTTAATACCAGCCAGCTGGCTTTAAAAAAAAAAACATTGAATTAATCAAAAATCCTTCTAAATGATATTTTCAAGTCAGTATATATCTATCTGAGCTCCCTAAACACTGCACAACGTACACAGAGTCCAACTATGTTTTTCGAGAGACAGGGAAATGCAGCAGTGCTGATACATCGGCATTTATTCACAGGACTGTGCCACAAGTAGAAGCAACTAAATCAGTCTTCTAAGGGTGACAGGCTTTTTAAAGGCAGCAGTTCCGTGCCTCTCTTATTTTGATCCCTAGCAGCCAGCAGCTGTTTTGCTGCCAGCATTCTTGTGGTCACTAGAAGAACCTTGCCTACTGCTACTAGACATTAAGAGAGAGATTTGTATAATATGACTCTTTCATTAGCAAAAAAAAAAAAACACATCGCATGTTTCTTGGTCATTCTTTAGAGAAGTTTCCCAAACTTGTCTTAGTCGTGGCGCCTTTTTCAATTAAAATTGTTCCATGGCGCCCTGACAGGAGTAAAAGTATGACTATTTATGTGTAAGAGATTTAAAAAAAAAAAAAAAATTAAAACTCAAGTATCTTCAAATATTTTACGGCATCCCTGTGAAGAGTTGGGAATCACTGCCCTAAAGAATACACATTTACAACATTTCTACATTTTTTTCATCATAGAAAGCTGTCATAAAAACTTCATGTATTTTAATTATCAGTTTGACTACTTTGGACTCCCAGTTTCTATACTGAACACCCTTTATCCCTGCGTGGGTTCCTGGGCCCCATTGTGGAGGTGAAAAGAATAGACCCACTGCCCAATTAACAAACAAGTATTTCCTCCTAAGACAGGGCCCATCTGCCTGATTGGTTAGAAACCAACAGTCTGCATAAAAAAATAAGTCAGGCCTTTGAAATGGATGTGCATGCAAAAAATTCTGGAACAAAGACTAAAATCCAGAAGTGGATAAACAACCAGAAGTTTCCACCAGAGTTTACAGCCGGCAAATGTGGCAAAGCGTGTCATCATCTTCTGGAATATGTTTACAATTTAGTACAACCATCGTAGGTTTCAATGCATCAACAAAATCCGTCCACGTGGCTGATATCTTAACTAGGACTTAAATTATGTACATCATTTAACAAAAAAGTATGCTATGGCATATTTTCGGGTCGGGAATATTTTTCAGGAAAATACTGGTCCTATCACAAATTCAGGACACTTCACAAACCCCTAGAAACAGGGATAAATAGTTTCAGGTCTGTTCATAAGTCAGTAAAAATCTTACCTTCACAGCAAAGCTGCTCCCTGAGACTTTGTGAATACATCGCTTACAGACAGAATAAGAGCCAATTCCAATGTCCTGCAGGAAAATGAAATATGTTGACAATTAAACTTTTGCCTGGTTCAATCTACTGTTTTAAAATTAAACTGTGTCGTGAAATGATAGTCATTACACATCGGTTTGTAAGGCTGATAACCTGTCTTACCTGTAATCTGCACAAAATTCAAACTTGGACTCGCCCAGAAATATATAGTCCCTTATATCTATATATATAGGCCTGTATTGGACAACATTATTATGTCTGCCTTTTCTGGTTACTTTAACTAAACTCCACTTTTAAATGTATATCTCTTGGGGATATATGTAGGGAGTTAATTGAGGTTTCTTGGAAACCGATTTACTCCTTGCCCCAGTATACAAGGAACTTCTTTTGTACCATTGCCTGAAATGTCTAACTGACGCGATTCTCCTTGCCAGCTTCTCAAGCCTCCAGATGTGTTAATCTGTGCCTGGATAACTTTCAATTTCCAAGGCAATCTGGAAATGTCTCAGTTTTTACATATGCTTGGGATGTATATTTTCTGAAGAGCTGGCAGAAGATTCACAGTCTCACCAACATCAAACAACAATCCAACCACCAGAACCAACTTGTTACCCACCAGCTAACACCTGTGAAGGTTCCTGACATCTCCAGAATGGGGGAGATTGTGCCTCAAACAGCTACCAGTGCTAGAGCTTAATGTGGCTCAAAGACATTGTGTGTCCTTACTGGTGATAGAGACTTGCTAAATACCGGTACAGTTGCTGTGTCCTCCATGGTGAAGTACTCTTTCACTACCTGATCCAGTTGAGCAGAATTACCAGAGTCAAAGACAGTCGAATCATCAGGAGCTGAGGGAGGCATCATAGACAGAAAGAGGCTAAGTGCAGTTTGATAAGATGCTTTATTCCTCACAGCTCCCTGGTTCCTATGATGACATTTAGTCACCTCCAGGACCGGCTGTCTGCTTTAGTTTCCTTAGGATCTAGACATTAGTGCTGAGATTCTTTCACTGATAACTGGAATTCACTTCAATTGTTTTTTGTACAGATATTATACTAAATACATGCATTCATTTTCATGGCTGACTTAGGTTTCTCCATGTCACCTTCTTAAGTGTTTAGCAGTTGTATGTGTATGTATCTTCAGTTATATGTGTTAACATGGTTATGATAATGAAACTATCATAACCTGGGGGCTTTTCTTTAGTAAGTAGTGGGGGTGTCCCAGCCAAGTGTGCCTAGAAAATATGGTATTTATATACTGATATATTTTTTGTAGTGCCAATACTTGAGTTGCCCTACTCCAGAGATAAGTTGATCGTATATTGGCCACGGGGAATCCCTTAGACCAATACGAGCCAAACGACTCAACATAATTATCTCTGAGTGCTGCTGGTTCTGAAGGAGAAATCCTTACATTAGGCACGCGACAGGAGTGATATGTGACAAACTGGTATTTTATCTCTATATTATATGATTGTTTAAATTCACTGAGGTCTTCGCATGTGGAGAGAGAAGATAGCTCATGCCAGTCCGCCAGGTGCAAAACTATGTTATTTATGTTATCACAATCTAATCGATGTCACTACATACTGGGCATTCCCATGAGTGCTCAGTCAGTTATCCGATCAGCAGCCACTCCAAGGTATCTCTACTGATTGTTCCCATGAGGAGCAGGTTATAATATCTCCCATCTCGGCTGTGAAGACGGCATAGACGAGCTTCACCACACTTTACTCCTATGCCAGACAATCATGCAAGAGTCAGAGATTCATTATTGTCCACCAATCTAGTTCTTACATCGTTGATGATTTCTGTCCTCTCCATGTTTTTTCTCACATGCATTGGTGCACTGCTTGCCACTTGGTCCATTTGTTTATTCTAAGTTGTCTGAATATAGTTTTTTAAATATTTTGTTTTTAACTCACGCTATGTTTTTAGGAAACTGAACAACATGAGAACTGGCTGGGAGAGAGATCTGAGTTTTAATGCTTGATAATGTCATGGAAATTGTTTGTGTAGGTGCGTACAACATCAGCCTTTTATAACATAACCAGGGACCAGGAATCCTTCTGTAATTATCTTTAGGGCAACTGCGACCCATTTGCATGTCTTGTCTTTGAGGAACTATATCTCATCTACATGTCTGTCTTTGGGAAATTAGAACTTATTTGTCTTTATGAAACTAAAACCAATCTGTATGTTTGTCTTTGGGGAACTGGAACCCATCTGCATGTCTGTCTCTAGAGAACTGGAACTCATCTGTATGTCTTGTCTTCTGGAAACTGGAACTCATCTGAATGTCTGTATTTGGGAAACTATAAATTATTGGGGAACTGGACCTCAATTGCATATCTGTCTTTGGGAACTGGAACTCATCTGTATGTCTGTTTTGGGGGAAGTGAAACTCATCTATATGTCTGTCTCCTGTGAAACTGGAACTCATTTGAATGTCTGTCTTTGGTGAACTAGAACTTATTGGGGAACAGGAACTCATCTGTATGTTTGTCTTTAGGGAACAGGAACTCATCTGTATGTCTGTCTTTCTGGTGCTGGAACTCAACTGCACTTCTGCCCTTTTATCTTTGAAGCATCAGGAATCCATCTGGATTTTCTCTCTTTCCAGACCACAACCAAAATGTTAACCTCAAAAGTGAGATTCCTATTAAAGTCGAACCTGACTGGTAGGGGTAATTATGTCTGCTCACATCCTTCTGTGTCATGGACAGACATTCTTCCATGCAATGATGTCAAAACTGCCCACAAACTTTTCTATTGGTCTCCCTCTGCCTCTTTTCTATTCTTCCTTTTCAGTTCACACAATTGTGCTTCAGTCCCCCTTCTCTTGTTGTGACCTACAAATTTTTCTTCTGTGTGTTAATTTATGTCAGAAAGTGAGAATACCCCAGACCTCATCCGACAGTCCCTAACTGACAGAGGACTGGAATAGAACAAAGCCAGAAAGAAAACTGCGGATAGAGACGTATGGCGATCTCTCTGGCAAACCTCTACACCCCAAGGTAGAAGAGGAGCGACTAAGTAAGTAAGTAAGTGAGAATATCAGAGAGAAAACCAAGGGAGCACTGAAAAAATATTTACATCTCAAACTGTGGATATATTTGTACATCTCAAATTATAAAGCATTCTTTAAACGCTAACAGACCCTGAATGGATTTAATAAATATGAGCTTGCTGACAAGCAAATAATGCACACAAGCAACAACTATTCACTTACTTCTTTTAACTCATAGTCATCACTGAATGGTGAGATTTTAACACCAGGAAGCTGTAGGACAAAAAATAAAATGATATCCGACTGTTTTCAACTAGAAGGAAAACATATAAGAAATGCATAATGGTAAAGAACATGCATATATTATTATTGGCAGGCTTTTCATTTCCCAATGCGATCAATATATTCTTATTACAAATTAATTTTAGTAACACTCTGAAGAAAATTGTAACAGACAAAAAAAAGTACACTAGCATTTTTTTTTCCCTCTTAAATTTTTCATCTCTCACTGGTGCGTAACCCTTCAGCCAACACATGCCAAGTTTTCAACAGACCTGTATAAGATGGTACGGGCTGCAGTAAAAAATTTCTTCACATAAGACAACAAATCCCACACCAACCCTATCTGTCTGTTATGACAGGCTTAGTTTTAACATTCTTTGTTGCTCTTTGAAGCTGCTTAGGTTATTTTTTTCCTTTCATAAACAAGTATTGGTGTGCTTCTCCTTGATGCTACTTTACATCTCTATTTGAAGCAAGGATCTGCAGTGATCACATCTTATTAACTTTGTGCCCGAACAGCAAGATACAAGGAGTTTAGCTCAAAGAGCAATACATTCAGTACTGTGATTCAAGCATCATGACAGTTAATTTTGTGTGTGAGCGTGCGTACATGTGTGTGTGTGTGTGTAAATATGTCAAAACCTCACAACCTCTACAACTTATCTTCCTCCCTAGGGTTAAACAAAAACAAATATTGAAAATGTAAAAAGTATACTAATAAAAGCACCTAAATGATTTAATCCATGTGTACAAATTCTGGTCAGTTAATCCACAATGACCACACACACAAAAATGGCATGCTACAAAGCTTTTACAGTTAAATGTCTATGTTGGAGAAAATTTCTCAGCAAAGGAGTTGACAGAGGAGGAAAGCAGAAAGAATTACCTTTGACAGACCATTGTTATTGACGACAGCATGCTCTGGAGGTGAAGGATTTTCATTCTCTAATAATGCTGGTGATATGAAACTAAACCCTCGGAACAGCTCATGGGCGGTCGCACTTGGTGGCATACCAGGTGAATCTAGCAAAAATAAACATCAGGCAATTGTGATTATCAGGCTTTTGGTTAAGTGTCTTCTTCCTTGTTCACCTAAGTGCTATACATGCTTTATGCCCATTTACAGCATCATCATCATCAAAAGCGTTGCCAGCTGGCGTTAGCATTCATGCATCTCCATAGATCTCAGTCTCTGGATCTCCATCTCTTAAGCCCTCCACCAACACCTCTCTTCGTCTGCCTCTGACTTTTCTACCTGTGATCTTACCAGTCGTCACGATATTCTCCAGTGCTCCTTTACAGCATAGCTGTGATATTTGCACTTTTCGACAGACTCAGTCGACTTTTTCTGGCCTGTTATCCCGGTTCGCCTCCCCAGTTAGTTTCATGGGACATTTATAGCCTCATGTGTGATAACTTCATCCCTATTCCACAGGTGTTATCTGGAGAGTACCCATACAGGGAAGATGGACTCTCAAAGGAAGGTAGAGGCAAAAAATTAAGCATTTCCTGCCATCCAAGGTGGCTTCCATAAATGCAGAGGCAATATATGGTGCTCTAGTACTAAGCTCACATGAAGAATGGTCATTTCCTGCACATAACTGCTTAGTCTCACATACATATACTGAGCCTTCCACCCATTGCAACCGTTTCACAATACAATCCTTGACGTTTGCTTAGGTTCAATTCCTGAGGCTGGCAGTAACAAAAAAAATTTTTTTTAAAATTTATTGTGGCTGTCAGAAAGTGGTACGAGAGTTGCACTGTACAAGAGATAGGGGTCTCACCGCATAATATTTCCATAGTTAGCAGTAGGCACACAACCGACAATCTCCACTTTGGAACCGGTACAATGATTTCTTTCTTCATTCATCATATGTCTTGCCATTAAACATGCGCAATCAGGGTAGCCAGGGTCTAGGGTTCTAGATTACAAGACTCACAGATCAGGTCTGTGTAACTCACACATCAAAATCCTGCCAACATACCTTTGGGAGTCTTAGAAGTAAATTCTTTGTCAAAGTAGAAAACGTCATCTGTCTGCACAACTGCAGGTTTGAACGGAGGCTGTAGCTCTCGCTTGAACAGTTTCACCCAATTAATTGTGCTGAAAAAGGGATGCCGTTTCATTTCCTCTATTCCATGTGGGCCAGACCCTGTTGTAAACAAATTCAACAGAAGTAGTAAAGCCTGGTAATAACAAAAGGATGCTTATTAGTTAGTTTCTCAGATATGGTAATCCCCAGTTTTAGGGAGAAAAATACCCCTGCTGCTTAACAAGTATGTCGTAACATAAAAGGAGACTAATTAAGGTTTTGCTGAAATCAATTGTTTTAGGTCGAGAAAAGAACAGCTATCACAGCTGAGTTGTAAACCGCAACAAAGAATGCCAATAGCCCTGTTAAGCGTGAAAATAAAAGATATGGTATATGCAAACAGCCAGCAGAACATTTCCCATTTGCCTGCTATATGATTTATCGACTGCTACATGAATAATGGAGTATAAACATCCACAAACAAATATTTTGGGAGTCAGATGGAGTTCTCAATTACAGTCAACATACATTTAAAAAATAGCTTGTGTAGACACCACGTTTTATAAAAATATGAATATCTTACCCAATAAGTCGTCGTCATCAGAAAGCAGAACAAAAACTCTTATGAGTATAATTATAATGGAAACAGATTTTAAAGCATGACTATGAATCCTGGCAATTATCAAAAAAGGCACGAAAGTCTCTCGAAGTCACAGAAATGTTTAAAGACCAATTTGGAAAAATACCATGGGCTGCCATAAATTAGTCATCGAAACATTTTTTGTGTGTGGACAATATGCTGCAAACATCAGAAGGAGACAACCATCACTCTCACCACATTATGAATCGACACACATTGGAAAACATTTCCGGACAGCCTCATTATGGCATTACAAGTTTTACGGGAGAATAGGTGCTATAGCTTCAGAGGTCCCTGGTAGTTAGCATCCTTTGGATATTTTCTCCAGGTTATGCTGGTGTGTTGGGAAACGAGCAGGCAGATAGACTAGCCAGTTCTTCACTACTCGATGGTGAATTGATGTATGACAAGCTAGATGTAGTGAGGACCCTTTTGGAGCAAGTGAACAGTGCAGAGGCACAAATAGATCATTATGGTCTGAGGAGATTGGCGCTGCGGGAAGTTGCCAGGGGACATGACCGATGCTCAACACTCAAGAGAAAGACGAGACAGGTATACAATCAGATAGTTACTAGTACCATCAGAATTAGAACTCTTTGCATGCTGCTAAAGATGGGGACAGAGCGCTTATGGGAGTGACCCGAGTGCTATGATGTCGATTCTTAATTCAACATTCAAGGCTTCTGACCCTTGGGTCATGAACCCTGTTCATCAACCAATCGGGTGCAATCTTCCAAATGAAGGTTGGCTGATATGGATCTCTAACACTTTCTGCCTCCCTCCCAGCATGTACACCTTTTCATTCTGTTAATCTGACTTAATAATGATATCCTCCCGCTTGCACAGTTGTCTTACCTCTTTCCACATTTACCACTTGTTCCGTTGCCCAGCTACTGAACTGAGTGCACAGCCCTATCTTGTGAGCCACGTATTCCATTTGGAATGCTTTCTGGCTGCCCGTGGTTTATGTTGTGAACTTCTGGATTCAGATTATTGCGAGTGGCCAGTTACCAGACAACTTAGTGGTGCCTTACGCGATTACCTGTGTCTAACTACTAATCTGTTATAAATGTTGCTTTCATCGACAATGAACTGCATTTCTAAGCCAGACTGTTTGTGTTGGCACTTATAATAGTTACCTTGTGCATTTAATGCATGTGCATGCTACTGGCTTTGCTGAGACTGCAGTCTGTGTAAGTTTTTCACTGGACAATGATGGACATCATGTATGGTTTCCGTTAGCACAGGAACAAAGCAACTATGGGGTGACCAGTGTTTAATGAAACTGGAACTTTGATTACCTCTGATTACCTGTATGTAGCACTTTTTAGGGTGGTGTAGTCCTTGAGCCAGAGGATTTAGGGCAGCATGACTACTGCAGTCAAAATGGACTGTGTGCTAGGCTTTACAGAGGATTCAAACCTGGATCTCTTGAATCAGCCCAGCATTCCTACTCGCCCAGTCAGCTATTTTCTTGTACCTCTTGTTCGCCTGCATGATTTTTATCAGAGTATGTCAGAAAATATGGCATATGATGTTAATGCTCACCTAATCTGTTGTTAGGATTTCGTTTAAACAGTGCTCTCAGCAAACTCTGAGCTTCAGGACTCAAGAAGGGAGGCATTCCAAGTTTTGCTCTGAAAGAGATGAACAAATGTGAAAATATGGCAGCTTCCTTCACAATAAGATTTGTACTCTTGACTACAGAAGACTGTAAATACACTGGAACAAGATCACATTCACTTTGTTTACCTCACACTATTTCTTTTAATATCATTTTTTCTAAAGCAAAAAACTATTTTGGTCAATTTGGGGAAAAGTGGGGAGAGAAGGGGCAAAAACCTGCCGCTTCATTTTGTTTTAAAAAAAAAAAACTGTTAGTATGTATTCTATGAAACTGTATGCACTACTCGATGGTGAACTGACGTATGGCAAACTAAATGTGTGGATCCTTTGGGAGTATGTGAACAGTGCAGAGGTACAAACAGATCATTACGATTTGAAGAGAATGGCGCTGCGGGGTCTTATCAGTTAAGACACTTATCTGTCATGAGTGTGGCAAGTGAATCTGTGTTGTTGTTAATAATAATAACAAAAATAGCATTTTCCAATCATCTATACCTTGCAGGTCTTTGTCACGCTTGTAAAATTAACGACAGTGACTAGAAACATTATTGTGAAAACAATGTTTATTCAAGAAATTGAGAAAATCTCTAAGGCCAGCTAACACAATTTAAAAACTAGCTGAATTGCTGAAAACTGCCTTTGGGAGTTTAGTTTCAAAATGATGTCTTCCTTTTCAAAATAGGACTTGATACCATCTAGCCAATGACAACCAAGTTAAAGTTAGACACGCAAAAATAAAAACCCGAACATTTAAACAGACTGCACTTTTTTTTGGCGGCATGCAAGTCTTTATCCTTATTATAATACTATAAAACTGATATTTTATTCCAGCACCAACAAAGCTCTCAGGTGTCACAGCTTACCAATTCCTGTTTTCCTAAGTAACCTATAAGAGAAACATACAACTATTATTTCAAATGGCAAAATTCAACAACTACAAACATGAACTCACTTCAGAATCTGTGTCATTGTTTCTTTTCTGTTTGTGCCTTGGAAAGGCAATGCTCCAGTTAGCATTTCAAACTGCAACAGGATAAACATAGCCTTACCCGGTAATCACAGAAAGACTAGCAATAACAAATTAAATTACATGGACCAAAAGCAACTATTAGTATACTGTACCAACTAAACTGCACCAAGAAATTAGACCAGTTTTCTAAACAAAACAACACACCAGTTTTCTAAACAAAACGATATACCAGTTTTCTAAACAAAACGATATACCAGTTTTCTGAACAAAACAATACACCAGTTTTCTAAACAAAACGATACACCTGTTTTCTAAACAAAACAACACACCAGTTTTCTAAACAAAACGATATACCAGTTTTCTAAACAAAAGAATCTTCTTTCTGCTTTGTCTTTTTGTGTGTGTTACGCACTTCAAAGATTAGCGTGCCCAATTACAGCTTGTATTTATGTAAGTTTTGTTTTGTGTGTGTTACGCACTTCAAAGATTAGTGTGCCAATTACAGCTTGTATTTATGTAAGTTTTGTTTTGTGTGTGTTACCCACTTCAAAGATTAGTGTGCCCAATTACAGCTTGTATTTATGTAAGTTTTGTGTGTGTTACGCACTTCAATGATTAGTGTGCCCAATTACAGCTTGTATTTATGTAAGTTTTGTTTTGTGTGTGTTACGCACTTCAAAGATTAGCGTGCCCAATTACAGCTTGTATTTATGTAAGTTTTGTTTTGTGTGTGTTACGCACTTCAAAGATTAGTGTGCCCAATTACAGCTTGTATTTATATAAGTTTTGCATTCCCTAGACAGATTTGTACCTAATACTCGTGGGAAGGTTTTCCTCCTAACAATTTGTCAGAGCAGCACGTTTAAAGGCGATTCTTTGCTATTTCCAGCAGCTGTGGTATATTTATATTGAAAACAGGACCTCCTGTTTTTAGCCTTACCTGAGAAGACTAGCTATCTTATCTCACTACCTGAGAGTTCAGGGGAAAATGTAATATTATTGGACACTAGTAGTTCTGGTAAAAACCTGCAGCCTTATGCCAGAATTTGAACCTGTTAGATTTTGAGCACTGGCATCTGCTGCTTAGGGGCTGCAAAGACAAGTTTGTAATTCCAACACATATGGTTTCTCTTTTTCTTCTTTGCGTTTACCAGCTGTAAACTCTGGTGGAAAGTTTTGGTTGGTTGTCCACTTCTGGAATGCAGTCCTGTTGCAGAACCTGAGTGTTGAGTATGCATCCGTTAGATCTGACACATTTGTGTGCAAACTGTTGGTTCCTTGCCTTTCAGGCAGATGTACTCTGATTTCACAGTGGGTCTATTCTTTTTTTCCCTATAAAAGGGCCCCGGAACCCATACGGGATACATATGATTTGATTCCAGCTGCAAATAATTTGAAAGCAAACCAGCATTACATTGACCTCAAGAATGGTATATGAAGATGACCATTTAAAATGCAATCACACACAAATCAAGGTTAAAAAAACTGCCCAGTAAAACCACACACAGCCAGCAAATGCTGGGGTTGATTGACAATGTCCTCTAAAGGATAAGCAACTGACTTTAACTCTCGGAGCCTGGTGTGGACACTGTGATTTCTCAGGCATACCTCCCTCAAACACATGAAATATAAACATTATTATTTAAAAAAACATATCACAAACAGGAGGAGACATTAACTCTTTTTGTCCCATGCAATGCAACATGTATTTGTTGGTAACCCCCTACAAGTAAGGGTGTCTTCTTGTTCAGTTAACCTATCTTGGCAATAGTTATCTGCAGTGTTTCGGTTTAGTAAGGTTATGGTGTGATCTTTTTGAGATGCAATATCAATTAACTTAAAATAACTACATTTAGACAGAATAATTTTAAGTGACAGCTGCATGGGATCAAAAGAGTTAAACCTGACAAGAAATCGAAAAAAGATAAACTGAAAAAAAAAAGACAAAGAGGAAGACTAGAAAATTCTGTAGTTTTAAACATTTTGTGGAAAGATAGCATATGAATGGCCACATTCTGCTGAAGAACAGGATGGTGCAGAAAAACAATAGCTGACAAGCAGAGTAATGGGCAGCAGGCCGAAGAATATCCATCTTATGCATAACAGGACGAGCGTTAAATCTTTAGTTATACTCAAAAGATGAAAAAAAAAAAAAAATTTTGTCTGTATACAGCAAGAAGCCTTTATGTCCCAACCTGGAATAGAATCTCATGGCACAAAAGCAAGACAGGATACCATAATGAAACAGAACAAAGACTGAAACAAAATGGTGACTAACAACAGAATGCAAGAATGTAACACTGACACTGCTCGACAAGGAGTTTCTTTTTCCCCTCCTCCGTGTGTACCGACTGTAAACTCTGACAGAAAGCTTTTGTTGTTTTGCCTATTCTGGACTTTGGTCTTGTGACAGAACTTAAGCTGTGCGTGCACATCCAATTTAGACATCTGGGTTATCTGTATGCAGGCTGTTGGTTCCTCATCTCTCAAGCAGTTGCACTCCGATTTAGAAGGAAACACCCCTAATTAGTCGCCTCCTACGAAATGTTTGTTGGGAGAGAAGTTGGTCTATTTTTCGTTCCTAAAATATAGGCCCAGAAACCCACACTCGAAAACAAGGAATAATAATGCAGAATAAAGAAAGCACAATGTTAAATAAGCCTTACCATTAGTACCCCATAGGACCACCAATCTGTGGGAGTCCCATGACCTTTCCTGTTGACAACCTCAGGAGCCATATATTCAACTGTACCACAAAAAGAGTAGGTCTTGTTCTCTTCAAAAATGGACTCCTTACTCAAACCAAAGTCTGTCAGTTTTATATGACCCTCTGTATCTAGTAAAATGCTGAAAGGATTATTTAAAAAAAAAAATGTAAGGTACAAGGAAACAGTGTAAGGACATGTTAGTTTTAATAATGAAATATGAAGTTCAGAAATTATTGGATCGTGATGAGGAAAATCTTCATGGACGAAAGACCAGAAGAGAAAGATTGGCTTTGTGGTCATTCAAGGTACTGGGTTCAAGTGTATGGACGAAAGACCAGAAGAGAAAGATTGGCTATGTGGTCATTCAAGGTACTGGGTTCAAGTGTATGGAAGAAAGACCAGAAGAGAAAGATTGGCTATGTGGTCATTCAAGGTACTGGGTTCAAGTGTATGGACGAAAGACCAGAAGAGAAAGATTGGCTATGTGGTCATTCAAGGTACTGGGTTCAAGTGTATGGAAGAAAGACCAGAAGAGAAAGATTGGCTATGTGGTCATTCAAGGTACTGGGTTCAAGTGTATGGAAGAAAGACCAGAAGAGAAAGATTGGCTATGTGGTCATTCAAGGTACTGGGTTCAAGTGTATGGACGAAAGACCAGAAGAGAAAGATTGGCTATGTGGTCATTCAAGGTACTGGGCTCAAGTGTATGGAAGAAAAGACCAGAAGAGAAAGATGGTCTATTATTTTAAGAAAGACAGCAACTGCTCGAATGGGCCAGTGTGTGTTGTGTTGAAGACATACAGCAGATGCTTGTGTAATGCCTATGTGAGAAAAGTGTCATGAAGCATTCTCGAGTACAACTGCCAATGGCTACCTGGAGTGACTTTAAGGAATGGAAGTAGAACAGTTAACAGACTATGCAGCCTGAGGACTGGCGAATAAACATACAGCAATCACTATTGTATCTGTATGAAGTGAATGAGAACGACTGTTTCCCTGGGCTGTCCTATTAAGAGGATTCTTACAAACAGCTAAAACATGTTTTAATTATAAAAAGGTATTTGCAATAAAACAAATGTAGAACAGAGAATTAATTTATACTAAAATATATTGATTCACTCGAACCCACAAGTCAAAAGACAGAGGAAGACCCAACAGCACATGAAGAAAAAAGACAAATAATATAAGGATTTAAAGGAAGCTGCTGGACTGCCATTAGGAGTTTCAACTTTGCTTACTTTTCAGGTCTCAAAAGTCTTAGAACATAACAGGTTTTACAAAACACTTCAACACCCCTTTTCTCGCTGCAACTGCCACCTTTCCTCTGTGTGAAATAGATAGTCTAATAAATGAAATAAAGAATCACAAAATTATAAAAATGTTATGAGGAAAGCTACATACTTCTCTGGCTTGAGATCTCGATAGATAATTCCTAACCCATGCAGGTGGTCAAGTGCCAAGGCTAATTCTGCCAGATAAAATTTTACATCCTCTTCTGTGAACATCACCTATATAGCGCAGAAACAAAATTCACAAAGTATTCATATATACATTAAATTTGACAAACAAACAAATAAAAAAATATCTTCAACACATTGAAAACAGCGCACGTGATATATTTCTAGTCTAAAAGTTGCTTTCTTCAACTCCCTTAATTGTCCTCTAGATCTATAACCAGTTACTCTTTGGAAGGCACATCGGATGTCATTGAAAACCAAAAAAAAAAAAGCAGGCTGAATCATGTTTGTTTAAGCTTTTCACAATGGAAATCATTTCCACCTTAAGGGATTAATCAATAAGCATGAATGGAGTAAAGCAATAAATATTTTTACAATCCCCAGGACCTAAAAAAAATGTATCAGGAGACTCAGGCAGTGACCTTGTCAGAATTTTAACATTAGGGCTACAGACAAAGTATGATCTAAATATTTTTTTAAAAGCACCTACTCCTCCCATAAAGGTTCAGTACATTTTATATATATATATATATTCATTTCTGGCCTACTAAACACTGCACAAGCGCAGACCCCAACATCATTAATTGGGCTTCATAAGTCACTGCAGGTGTGCCGGGTAAGCTGCATTTACGGGAACGAGATGGAAATGCCGGGCTCGTGGTCTCTTAGGGAGACAGTGTTAGCCATGACCTTTAGGGCAGTTGTAATAATAATGTCATTTATCCCCCCTTCTCCTTAGGAAACATGCAGTATCCTTGTGTTCCATTATATATTTTGTTAACTTATTAGATCCATGTGCTTCCTTACATGGGGGGAAGATAATAATCTTTTAATTTAAATGTCCATCTAACATTCTTTTTCACCCACAATTCAAAAAAAAAAAAAAAAAAAAAAAAGACAGGCAAGAAAAGAGATGCACTAAAGAAAGGAGAGAGGGGGGAAAAAAAAATAGAAATAGAGATAAACAACAAATATAAAAAAAAGACAGGAAATCGAGTATGAGAGTGGGAAACAGAGACAGTACAAGAGAGAACACTGTTTACCTCTTTTGACAATCTGGTAAACAAGTCACCTCCCCGTAAAAACTCCAAAATAAGATATAACTTGCCCTCTGTCTGAAATGCTGAAGGAAAACAAATGTCACATCAGTACATAAGTTCTTTATAAACATCTAAGTTTATACATGTCCTTTGACTACAAAAGTCGTAAAATACTTAAGTTTACAGGTGTACTTTTTATCTCCCAAAGAAATTAACAAACATTCACTTTCTTTTCTAATGTCTGTTCATGAAAACCTGCTGAATTAACATTAAACTCAAAGTTTGTAAGAGAGAAAAAAAAAGCAGGCTGAGTTCATGATGAAAACTCACATGACAGCGTAATCATCAGTCAGGAAAGAAGGAGGAAAGAATCAAGATTGCTCATGCCAGTCAGCAAGATGACAATAAGCATAAACATTACAACAGTTAGACCAAAAATATATATAACACTGAAATATTCTCACCATAATGAAGCCGGACTATAAATGGGTGGTTAACATCTGCCAGTATATCTCTCTCCATTTTTGTTCTTTGTCGATCACGAACTGGAACAAAAAAATATGGTGTTTGTTTCAATTCTTCTGAGAATTCATGAACTTGCATGCAAAGGTACCGATTTTGAACACTGTAAAAGATATTTCAAGGAGCACAGGCGTCGAACCACACACTGGTGAGGCACAAGGGCCTGGACTCATACTGGTGAAGGCCTATTTACACCTCTTCAGTCAATCTATAAACAAAGTTCCTTATGAGAGTCTCGCCAGCATGGAAAGGATTAATATTTTCTTCGAAGTAGGGGTGCATTTGTCTAAGAAGCAAGCAACCAATAAGCTAGATCTGTTAAACATAAATGTATGCAACACTCAAGTCCTGAAACAAAGCCAAAGTCCAAAAGTGGATGAACAATCAGGACTTTCTGCCAGATTTAAAGCAGAGAAAGTGGTGTCTGTGGCATCCCACAGAAATGTTGCCAGACAAGCCCATCATTCTTTCCAGTTTTCTGTGGTCATTGGATAAACTGTTTCCACTTTAAATATTATAAGTTTTAAATTTAAAGTATTTGAGTAGGATAAATTTGGTACAATGTTCTGTGAAAGCAAATTAACCAATTAATGCTAAAACATTTTTGTGTGAACAGTATCTTCTTTTTCTTTGTTCACCAGCTATAAGCTCTGGCGCAAAGTCCTGATTGTTCATCCAACTGGACTGAGTTTTGCATGTACATTCGTTTTACTGGTTTACTTGTGTGCAGCTAGTTGTTCCTTGCCGCTCGGGCAGATGTACTCTGACGGAAATTCCCAAACAGTCGACTTTTACGACATGCTTGTTGGGGAGGCAGTGAGCCTATTCTTGTTTCCCCCCACAATAGGGCCCTGAAACCCACATGGGGGAGACAGTATACATTTGGCAGAATGTTCTCAGACAGTACCTTGACGGAATGTTTTCTGACATTACTGGAAGAGGGTAAAGCAAGTATAGGAACCTTTTCATACCCTTGGCAAATGAGGCATATAGTGCTTGACTTACAAGGTGCTTGAATACTGACACTCAATACGCGATATAGTCAGCCTTTACTTCGCAGCACCCATTTTCTATCACAAATTTCATTTGGGGTGATCTGGGAATTAAGGTCAATTTCTAGGAATCAAAATTCACCTCTATGCAGCTTTGAACCCCAGACCTTCAGCCAGGAGGTGATCATCTAGTATTATTTTACCAGGGTAGTGCTGACAGAATGTTAATAAATAATGGCAACATGAAGAAACCAAACAACTAGAACTGAGGAGTAATTCCCACCTTTCAATGTTGCTTTCTTCAAGACTTTCATGGCATATAAGGTGCCAGCATCAGGAGCTGATATCTTCCTTACCAGGAACACCTGTGGACACAAGTGCTTGTTAATGGACACACACACAAAAATCACTGTATAAACATGTTTACTTTAATGAATTCCGGACAACTGCTTGAAAACAAATATGTTTAGTTTCATGAATATTTTACTACTTGCCTTTCCTAGTCCGTAACTTAAGAGCAGCTAATAAAAATTTATAAAATATCTAATTTCTGTGGAATGTCAGATGTGAATAATGGATATTTTGCTATCGCTGCAGAAGAAAGTGTAAGATTCTGTGTGTTCTTTCTAATGTGTTACAGAAGTTGATAATTTCTATCAGGTTGTTTTTGATGCTGTCGTTCCAATCATTATCTATGACACCACATAGCTCTGTATCTTCAGCGCAACTGTGGCAACTGGTATAAGGCATTCTTTTCAAACAGCCAAATCATCCCAACGGTTTTTCTTTAATGAACTGTAGGACTGGTTTCAGTCTTAGTTTACTTTTTTTTTTCATCATTTGTAATTTTTATCTACCTTAGATTAGAGGCATCTTGGGCATAAACACATATGAAGAAGGGGAATTTTGCAGGTGAGATAGCACTCCTATCCCAACAATATATACAAGACGAAAGTACCAGACGAGACAGCACGGCAGAAATGATGGGACAAAATAAATACAAGGAAAGCTAAGATCATGACAAACAATCCAAACCAACAACCAGTGACCATAAATCAGCAAACACTTGAAAATGCAGAACAGTTTACATATCTTGGCAGCATGGTGTCCCTACTGGGAGGGACAGAGAAAGACATATAATCATGCTTGAACAAAGCTAGAGCTGCTTTTGGAAGGATGAGGCAAATCTGGAAATTAAACAGTTACTGCAGAGAAACAAAACTCCAAGTCTACAAGAGCATCATTTTGTTACTTCTTCTTTATGGAGCAGAATGACAATAAAGGATATGCACAAGTTATCCCCCTTCCACCACACATGTCTATGTAGAATTATCAAAATTTTCTGGTCAGAAACAATCTTAAACACTAAACTACATCAAGTCACAAACCAAGAAACTCTAAGACAGTATGATAACCAAGAGAAGATGGAAATGGCTTGGCCACACCATGAGAATGAATCCTGATTTACCTGCAAAAACAGTTCTCACTTGGACACCAGAGGGAAAGAGAAAGAAGGGGTGCAAAAAAAAAAAAAAAAAAACATGGAGACAAACGATGGAAAGTGACCTGAGTGCTGCATCTCTAAACATGGAAAATTGCAGTGAAGATTGCACAGGACAGGAAGGCATAGAAAGGCCTCTCTGAAGCCTCATGTGCCACTTGGCATAAAGAGAATGGAAGGAAGAAGAGGCATTGGCAGAGGACTAAGAATCGTTTAGACAGACCGATGGGAGCAACATTCTGTACAAGATAATGATGATTTCAATAACTGCGTTAAACGATGCCCTTTGTAGTAAATATTACATTTGACTCACATGTCAATGCACATATATCCTACCTTGCCGAATGATCCTTGGCCCAACACTTTCAGTAACTCAAACTGACCTGGGTCTGCCTTCTCCCCACTCTTGGTGACACTGGTGATTTCAACTTCATTTTCTGAGTCACCCTGGCAGATATCAAACAGAATCACTGAAACATTAATAAACTCCTAGATTAAAATCCTAGGTAAGATGCTGGAATTTTATCTCTTTAGCAAAAATAAATTCCTAAACTTGACCAGTTCATAGTGACTGCAGCCATGCAACACTAAAGCCCAAAGCTAGACGTACCACCCCCCCCCCCTTTCCCCAACCACAAACTTCTTTTTAAAAAAAAATTTGTTGTATAATGAGGTCAGTAAAAAAGCAATAAAACAAAATCATAATCACAATTTAAAAAATATATTAACCAGATTGCATTTAGAACTATTCACTAGTCACCAGACAAATGACTCTCAATAAGATCAAATTCAAATTGAAACAGTCTAAACAAAGGAAAAGATTACATAGTTATGCCACCACATTACCTGGTCATCCACAAGCATGTCTTCTGTACTCCCAGCCTACAGTCAAAGAAAGAAAAGGCAATGCAATGGGTAAATTGTTGGTAAAATTCTTTTAGATTAGATACAAAAGGTAATCAGTTACTATACTTTCCAACACAACTTTTACACTGCCAGTAATCTGTTGTAAAACCAATATTTAACACACAACATTCTGTTTCAAACAAATCTAGACTTAGTCATAACAAAGAGAAATAATATCAATATGTATCAATCCTGAAAGCAAAACAAAGTTTTGTTTCAACAGAAAATTGTTTTCATGTCTTCAGCCCTTTTGAGCATATGATGATGCTGCTGGCACCTTTCCATCAAGAAGGAGAATTCTGAAAAGCCATAGAAATACTATCTTGATATATTATATGGAAATGAATCACATGGACAATTGATAAATAAACGAAAACTTATTTGGAAGCTGTGGAAATGTGGTTTCATAGACGAATGATGAGAATACCCTGGACAGATAAGAGTAATGAAGACGTCTTGAAAAAAAAACCACTAACAAAAAGAGAACTGACTGCCCACATCAGAAAGAGACAATTTACATTCTTTGGTCACGTGATGAGAAGGAGACAACTGGAGTAAATTGTGACAACAGGAAAGTTGCAGGGGAGGAAGGGAGGTGGAAGAAGACTTGATAGAAAAGATGCTGGATATATCTGATATCATGGCATGGAGGATAACCCCTGTCACAGTTGACTGAAAGTACATGAGACAGAAGGCTGTGGCTAGACATGACTACCAACGTCACGGTCTTTGAGAAAAAAAAAAGTGTTATACTGTGCTTTAGGGAGGCATGGGAATCAGTCCATGGTGAGTGTGACTAGTAAGAGCTTAGGACAAAGCCTGGACAGTACTGTAGGTGGGGGCAGTGAAAAATGCTGATAATGTTTACTTTTACTTGATGTTTGAATGAAAATGATGTATGAAAGGATGGAAACTAGAAAGGCCTGTGTGCCCTTGCTTTGGCAATAAAGTTTGTTTGTTCATTTGTTCACTTGATATGTCTACAGAAGGTCCATCTCAAGCTGTTAGTGCCAGTCTATGAGATTTTTGTAGACAAATTCTAAGTCCTTGAGTCTACTGTTTGAGTGAATCTTACTGTCCCAGCCTGTGATGAACAGGAGGGTTCATAATACAGAAGAAACAAATATCTACAACAGAAATGTAGGTTTGTTGTGTGGTTTTCATAATCACACTGAAACAATGATATCTACATGTGATCAGTTTATAAAAGGCACAGATCTCAGAAAGTGTACCAGTAATAGCAATAAAAATAAGTAATCTGAGTACATAAAAATGTATAGTCAAGAAGGTCTTTGGTCATGAGATGAGAAAAGGAGAATTGGAAAATATGACGACTGGAAAGATCACTGGTAGAGGAGGCAGACTGAAAGAAATGATGCTGGATGGCTTGAGACAGTGGTGTGAAGGAATATCATCAGTGGAACTGATACAGAGTACCATGGACCGAGATTTGTGGAGATGCAAGAACACCTACATCAGCTGGTAAGGCACTTGAAGATGATAATAGTCAAGAAGAAAAATAATGAACACAGAGCTGGGGGGAAGGGTACTATTCTTTTATTGCACACCATCTTAGGGGCTCTGAGATTTTGTAGGAAATTTGAGGAGTTTTCCGGAAAGTCTTATATTATGGGGAAGGGGGTGGTGTTTAAGGTAGGGTCAGTTGGTGTTTATGTGTCATTTCCCAGTTCTTAAGTTCTGGCGAAGAGAAACTCTGGTTAAAGGCAAACTTTACGGGTCACTGAGTGAATTACACAAGACAGTGAAGTTAATACTAGAGACAACACTGCAGATATAGATCTTTTATTTTGGGTGAAGAGGAAGAAACTAGACCTAAACCCCTCTCCCCACAATTTAGGACTATCCGAAAACCTCCTACGAATTCCCCACAAAATCTTGGATCAACCCAAGATGGGGTGAAATAAAACAACAGTACTGGGGTAAGATCACGAAAAAAGCTAGGACAGCAGTATCAAATAAGCATCAAAGATATGTAGATGACTAGATCAACCCATGCAACACACTGGAAAGAGCACACATAGAGTCCTTACATCTCCCCTCAATACTTTGATGAGGTAACAGGAGAAAGAGAAGAAGATACCATCATGACACTGTAACCATTATTGAAAGTTGTACACCCTAAGGAAAGTATGTGCATACTCAGCAAGATATAACAATCTTAAACAACTGGAAATTACAACACGCTATTTGGTATATTAAATAATACATAATAATTTTAAATAATTAGTACTGCAAATTCAGGCACAATAACTTGATCACTTAAAAAAAAATCTTCAAAGTATACATGTTTAAGTATAAGCAAAGCACAAAATAAAATAAATAAAGAAATTAGCAGAATCAAAATATAAACAAAGTATATAAGAAAAGGACTGAGCGTTCTTAAACTGTTATTCTAGAGTGCAATAGTACTCATACAATACTAATGATTAATAGTATTTCAACCACAATACAATAATAAATAAAATTATAATTATGCTTCTATTTTTATGCCAGCCTAAGGCAAAGTTGCTCATTTTAATAATTCATGTGTAAGGAATGTTTACTTAAAAGTTCCTACCAAAGGCTTATTTTTATGTCAGTAAAGTAAAGTAACTTTGGCTTTGATAACAGTGGTGTTGTTGTTTGTAAAATAAAAGAGTAGTAACTAGTAAGCAATTAAAGTACAAGTAGCTCCTCATGGTACTGGTACAAAGTACATAGCTCCGATATCATCATCTCTCATAATGTATCAATGCCATATGATGTTACTATTGTCCCTGTTAACTCGACTGTCAGTGATAGTTATACTATAGTAGGTAGTAGTAAGTACATTTCATACAAATGTAGAACTTTAAACGACTTTAAGTTTTCATCCTTAACTTTGCAGCACTCCTCTGTCAAAAACGCTGTGAGGAGAAACCGATTACGACACAGCGGAAGCTATGAATGAAATTCTCATATTATTAAGTGTAAATGATTGAGCGGTGCCGGTCCGGTCGATTGTATGAACAATAATTATATAGAGAGACAACAGTCGTCATAAAATTATCAAACGATCGTTAAAACTGAACCTTTTTAACCTGAGTTAAAAGAAAATCTCACTTCTGTTTCGTGTGCTAATTCCATTCGGCGCCATGGGTCGGCGTTGAGTGCCAATGGCATTCTTAAGGGTGAATGAAGAGGAATTTTGACAATGTTTACGTCTGTCCTCTCCGGTAGCGGTTTACATTCGACCAATATGGCCGCTTCACGGGTGAAAGATGGCCAGGAGTCCTAGCGTTTGCGTCTAAGTCTAGCAGTCGTTCTTTTATCAGTTCTGAAAACACAACATACCTTTACAATCTGATATAAATCGAAGATATTTAATTAAGTTATATATAATTTTTGAATTGTATTTATGAATTGTGTTTTATATATATATTTGTGTGTACATATATATAATGTGTGAGTATTGTGAGTAAAAACTTCACATCAAGACCATATCCGATATTAATATTTATGTGGATACTGCTACTGCTGCTGCTACTACTGCTACTACTACTACTACTACTACTACTACTACTACTACTACTACTACTACTGCTACTACTGCTACTACTGCTGCCTACTACTACTGACTAATACTACCCCACTACTACTACACAACGATAAACACTACTACTAAAGTGCTACCACTACGTGGAGAGGTCCTAGAAACTGCTGTTCAGACTTTGGCCATATATATGGCCTGCTGCTGCCCCTGGCAAAACTTGATTAGACTTGTGCATAGTTTATAATAACTGTGTTAGCTTGTGAACAGTTGTGTGTGAATAAAGTTTGTGGTGAATAAATTCTACATTGGTAATTCTCTTTTAAGAAAGGAATAAATAATGATAAATACTATAACTAACATTTAAAAAAACCAAACTTACATTTCATTTATTTCTGAATTTTATACATAGATGTATCACGTATGAGCGCCTGCTTATGTGAGGATGGGCTCATGAAACTGCAAAAGTTACAAAGTATAAATTTTGACGTGTGATCTTTACAATCCCAATTTTCCCTCTAGTGAACGCGTGACGCACGCATATTCAGCATGAACGAGAGATAAATCACACTATCTATATTCATCATCATCAGGTGCTTTGCCGACTGGCGTGGGCGATCATGCCTCTCCTCAATCTACGATCTCCTGCAGCATGTATCAGTTCGTGTGCCGACACACCTCCATGCCATGCAACAAAGCTGTCAAGGATCTTCTCTCGTTGTCTTCCTCTATCTCTCTTTCCACAGATCTTTCCAGTGGTCAAAACATGTTCCATTTTCCCTCTTCTTATAAAATAGCCGAAAAATGATGACTGTCTCCTTCTGATGCATGTGATAAGTTGTATTTGGGCTTCAGCCTCTTTCAAAACCTCTTGGTTGCTTTTTTTTTTTTTTTTTTTCATATCCAAGGTATTTTAAGCATTTTGTAAAACGACATCTCTGAGGCCTCATTAAATTATATAATTATACATTTTAAATGTATAACATTAAAATATAAATTAGCATATTTGTCAGTCTCGATTGTGTATATCTTTCACTGCGAAGTTAGTGAAAAATCAAATGTGTGTTTACTTTGAAAGCACAGTTTAGACAATATGCATATGCAATAATCGTTACATTACTAACTAGTTCACTGACTCCAGATCTGACTGCTGATCTGTTAGTAACTTCTGCTACCATCCGTGATCAACTGCATTTCTAACGTCGGACTGTTTGTGTTAGCACTTCGGATGCTTTTGATGCGTGTGTATGTTAGTGCAATTGCTGAGACAGCAGTCTGTCAACCTGTCCACAAGGGACTGTGGTAAACATTCTCATTGGCACAGGAGCGGAGCAACTATGAGTTGACCCGTTTGTTATAAAGCTGAAACTAAGAATACCAGATTACTAGATTACTGACGCCAGAGTGCACAGATCAATGTGTGTAAATGCTTTCATGTGTACGCTATGTAGGTGTAGAAAATGAGTCAAAACCATTCTCCTCTTAGTCGTTAACCGAGTTTCCAACATCACAGCGGACGGCTTGTCCCATAACAGCTCCTTTCCTGTACAAGTGGAAATCAAATTAATATCCTTCCCTGCCTTATCCGAAAACTAGTAAAAACGAATTTGTCCGTCCCAGGAAAAATCTTGAAGCTTGCACACGCGAAATGAATTTAAACATTGCATAAGGCCACTTTAAGATTTTTCAACGCCAAGGGCCTAACACCGTATTTTATGCTCACTGTTGGTGCAAACGGCAAATTACGAGAACTGGTATTGCACCTGCAGAAGTACACGTCTGCTCCCTTCACTCTGCCTAAGAACTTAACGAACCCTTATCTGCCACATCAGTGACTTCATCATTCAATCATTACATCTCACTGGATGATGAGTGGTCTTCAAACGCATATGACGGACGAACAATAACAAAAAACGACAACATTAAATGTGTGAATGTATTGGAAATGTATAAAATAGGTATTGTTTACTTCACGTGCATGCATAATGGGGTGTTTTCTACCAGTTTTTGGTGAAAAAGTTTAAACGTTAGGAACCTGCTCTACAACACTAACGTAATTTCTCTGTTATAATAATTTCAAAAGTTTGATCAGATACACACTTTGAGTAATGTTAATATTGTTATTTTTCACCTCAGCATAGCGCAGATGTAGAAGAACAATTTAAAAAAAAGTCAAAGAAAATGTAATGTAATGTACTCCAGCATAAAAGTAAAGAACAGTAAAAAGTTTAAATGTAGCTAGCCGAATTTCATATCAGTAGATTATGGAAATATATTTGCTTCGTTTGACAATGGCACATCATCCTTTGTAATCATGTGCATCTAACAGATAACTGGATAATTTTGTAATTATCATTAATGTCAGCCGTTACCTGCCTTTTCTTAGATTTTGTTTGTTTATTTACTTTCAATTTTTTACACCAAGAGTGGCAATACTTTTATTAACTTGTTGCTTTGTGGTCTTTGTGACTTTCTCAGTGTTATACCTGTACGTTTTCTAAAGTCACGACAAGTTTTTGTATCCTCGCTGGTGGTAACATACATATCCTTCCGTCCTTTTTAGGACGTAATTTTTTTGTTATTTGAAGCCACACTCTGGCTTTTGCCAGGGGCAGCAATATAGACAGGCCATAAATATGGCCAATTGTCTGAACGCGGTTTCTGGGACCTCTCCACGGTGATCCTCATCCACATGGTGGCACTTTGTGTCATCGGGTGTTTATCGCTTGTGTGATGTCCTGGTGGGGTAGAAAGTCAATCAGTTTTGTATCCTCATAATGAAAATGTATTTTTCAGTAACCCAGGTAAACGCCAAACCCGAATCATCATAGCGAATGTCACTGTTTGTTATTAAAGATTTATTTGCAAACGAAAGACAGATCAACTAGTGCTAAAAAGAATATAGACTTGGGATTACTTCATTCTGATAAATGGTCTTTGCCGCTTGGGTTCAGGGTGCCCATTTAAAAATAAGTATAGACCTACGAGCTCTTATCTTCCAACAAGCGAATTAGAGGTTTGTGGAGATCGTATGTGTTGGGTCGCAAGGCAATAATATCGCAGCCTAGAGGTAAATCACAACACAGTGCCTTATTGACAAAGGCAAAGGAAGAAGAAGAAGAAGAAGAAGAAGAAGAAGAAGAAGAAGAAGAAGAAGAAGAAGAAGAAGAAGAAGAAGAAGAAGAAGAAGAAGAAAAGAAGAAGAAGAAGAAGAAGAAGAAGAAGCAGCAACAGCTCGGACGCAAAAACGATTCGTTGGTTCTGTCTGAATTATTGTTATTATTATTATTATTGCTCAAATATTGCATTTAGTTTTCCAAGATCGTAAGGTACGATGGACGCGCAGGAAAAGGATTTTTGATTCTCCAAAGTCAATCTGGCAAGTAGTGAACGCTTTGTTGTTGTGTCGAGTGCTGCTGCATTCCTGACATTGTTAGCAAGCCATAAAGCTTAACCATCTAACGTAGGTGTGTGACAACAGCACTGCAGTTTCACATTGATTTTATTTTAATGACACTGAAATAAGTGAGGGCATCTGAATGCCTTTGTTCTAGTCCAGGCGTAGCGTAACGATCTACACTGGACTGATAGTAAAGTTTCATTCATAAAAAATGGTCTTGCTCCTCCCACCGAGTCTCTCACGCCCACTTGCTGAGTGTTTGGCGGGGAAAACCGACCGCGCTAAGCAGGTGGTCCGAATTTTTCCTGATGGTGTGAATCGCTGACTGGCGTGGGCGAGTATTTTGCTCTCATATTCTTGTTTAGTAGTTTTTGTTTGGGGTTGAATTTTTTAGGTGTAATCATCCAGTATTTGTATCTTTGTCTCCTGTGCTCTTCTATTAATAATATTAGTTGGAAACTTGGCAAGCATATGCCCAGGCTTTATCTAAGTAGTTCACCATTGTGCCCGTTTGTGCAGACTACAGAACATGTCCGGCAAGAATGTCAATTGAACAGCCCATTAAGAAGGAAATACTGGAACAGAGAGTCAATACTGCGCTCAAACTTGTATGGAACTAAAAGGGAACTCCCGAAAACAGTCAAGTTTATCACAAGAACGTATCTGCTGGTGTAAATCAGAAAACGAACACAAGAAAAAGTAGAATATTAGTAGTAAGCATTACTTCTATGTTTCCCCTTACGTCGTGATACAAGAATGTATGAAGTAATACGTGTCTGTCTCTTGTGAATTGTTTCATCTCCTCTATATAGTTTTATCCAGGACCGTATTTAACATGTATGGCGCCAATGTAGTCCTTTATTTTACTTCCGCCCGCCCCATTTCCTCACTTGAAACTTCAGCATAAAAAAAAAATATACCAACAATAAGTTGTGGAATCTTTTACTTCAGTTTGTACTGAAGAATTTGAACCAATCTAAATACACATCGCAGCACTTACTTTTTCCTGTGGAAACTGATGGACATTGAGGAAATGCAATCTGGAGCTACAAGAAAAATGAAGATTTCATCAAAAGCACAATACGTTTGATTAATAAATACACAACATAAGCCATTAGATGTTTTACAGTTGTTGAGCTTTTGATGAGTAGATGGGAGCACCTATGGATCAATCCAGATTCTGCAGTGACTTCATGATAATCCTTACTATTCCCTTTTTGGTAGGCTGTACAA